TATTTATATTATATCATATTACATCTATATGTCTATATTGACCTCAACGTTCAAATGTATTTAAACTGGAACTCGATTCCTTCAGACTCCCGGGCAATGAAGTCATCAATCATCTCATTCTGAGCCACCGTCAAATGGTTCTTCCAGTCGCCAATTTGACCTGTAGAATGAAAAAAAAAGTGTACCATCGACACATTGACGGAATTTTCCTGGTTCTGAAAAAGTAAGACAGGCAGACAGATACAACAGTAGGAAAGAAAAGAAGTAGGATCTACCACTGGTGTACTCCAACCGCCCGCATGATATTTATTCTGATCTTGCTGGTCGGCGTTAAAGATGTAGAACAGGTTTTATATTTTTCAATACATGATATTTCAACGTAATTGAGGCTGGATTTTTTTTAAAAACGTTTCTTCTTAAATCTAAATAAAATACTAAAAGACAGCAGTAAGAAGGAACCAAGGAGTAGCAATAGAAAGGCTGCAGAAAGAGTCAGGAACCTAGAAGATTGGGGGGGGGGGGGAGAAATGAGATGATGGGTTGGGACAGAAAGTGGAGACGAAAACAAACGACAGAACATTGTTGGAGAGCAGGAAAGGGGGTGAAAGGAGTAAATTCTAGAGAAGAAAATTTTTCGTCACAGTCCCGATTCAAACATTAGACCTATTGAATAAGTGACGAACATCGTAACCTCTTGACCACGAGAGCCCCTATACGCTTTTTTAAAAAAGAAGTCGGCCATGTTATAACAAAAATAGACTGACACACTTTTAAAATACGGCCAAAAACTACACTTCCAGTCAGTGGGAGAAACACTGGAATGGCTAACCGAACAAAACACACCATGGTGCAATACCCAAAGCGGGCCCACGAAAACCTAGCCTCTCAAGAAAAGGTGACGTTATTTTTTACTAAAATTACGTGTTGGACATACCTCTCAAACGCATAAATACCTCCTGCCAGAAGATGAGACGCCCTTCTTTATTGTTGTGATACAGATTTTACCATAAAACATAATATTATATTGATAGAATTTCCGGGCTTTGGGAAACCAGAATGAATTTTTATTTTAAATGTGCAAATTTACAAATTTGTTCTATTTCGTTTTAATCCAACAGAATTCTTGATTTTTTAAAAAGCCTTTGTAAATATTGTTTTCTTTTAAATAAAAGGTAAGCTGTTTTTAAAACTGAATTTTTACGCTAACATTTTTAACCAGCCCATTGAATAAATATCAAGCCGTGCTGTGAACTGTCACGAATGCAACTAACTTGTGTTTCGCAACGTAAAACTGTTACTAAACTACACACTCGCGCGCTGGCAGAAATGGTGTAAATGTTCTCCACCACACTAAAGCTTTGCACAGCAAATTTGAACACAATGTTTGGAAGTCGAAAGGAGTTTGGTTTATACTCATTTCATAGAGTGCCCATAGAATACTTTTGCTCTGTAATTATGCGCTTGAAAAACAACCCATTTTCAACCTTGTCACCTACACATAGAAAAAGTAGGCTGTTCTCAGGTCACCTTTTAGTATCTGCATCGAAAGTTCCAATCGTTTACATCACCAACACCATAGGAACTGCTTCAACTATCGCTATGGGCTCAAATCAAAATGCACCTGTCCAGACAACGAAAAAGAGAGCAACTAATTGGCTATTCCTTGCATACTATGTCTTATTTTGCATGTCCAACAACTTACAATTTCTGTCTGTCACAGTACAAGCTTTCTGCCTCCCCATTTCATCCATTTACTATGGGGAAGCAAAGGAAAAAAACCTGCCATGACACTGCTTGTAGTTATAGTACGTAGGGCTCATTCTCGTGGAGGTGTCATCTTTGACTCAGAGATTGAGAGGTAATGCCCGTCAATCATTTACGGTCACGAGCTGTCGTTGCACATTCTGCTACACCCAGACCAGTCTTTATTATTATGTTGTTCATCCAAGTTATGCTTTGCTTTCCCTGGCCCTCTTTCTCCACATCCTTCCTTCAGGGGCCTATTTCACAATGGTCTCGTGAAGTTTTAAGTGGCCAAACTATTGGATTTTTCAACATTTTATTTTATTCAGTAGGGTTTGTCTTGTGTGGAGGATCTGACACACCTCATTGTTCGTCTTTTTTGCTTTCCAACTTATTCTGCTATTCTGCGTTGGCTCCAGGCAGGCCTGGTCTAAAAAAAAGAATTTGTGATGGGCTAACTACCCAACTCTGTAAAAACAAGTGATGTTACAGAAACTTATTAAGCAATAAATACTTCTAATTTGTACGATCTTGGGAGACAGAGAGCTCTTCTGCAAAAGCAGGGAAGAATTAAAGAATGAAAAGGTGTGGCATATTATCAAGAGGTTAACCCAGTATAGAGAAATTTAATGAGGAATGAGTTTGTTCGCGGTCCATACTCTGATACAGTGTGAGAAAGGCAATGATAATGACAGTGCAAGCCTTGCAAGTGAAGAAGAAAGCAGCATACTTTGACAACATAAATGGAAGCATGAAAAAAAAAGACCCCACCTTTTCTGTACACCTTTAGTGGAGGTCCTTTCCAGCCCGTGTTCTCATGTTTTGGCTCTTTCTTCTGTGGGTCTGCCTCCTTCATCTTGGAGAAACTGAAAGGTGCATGAAACAAACTTGTACCGAGTGTCTAAAACAAAGAGGGCCCATTCAAATGCAATAATTTCGTCATCCTTCGACCAATTACAATAAAACTTAGACGAAACAAAATTCAACAAGGGGACGCTACACTTCTTACTATGAACAAAATCAACTAATGTGATCAACAACAAAAAACCCAACCAACTTAAAACTTTTTTTTCTGAATATCTCACACATTTGTACTAGAATGCTGTACTTTGGAACAGATATAATTTATTCAAAAGAAAATTATTTTAGAAAACGGAAATGACTTTTATAAAAAAACAACTATTAGTAAACAGAAAATGCACCAATTTACAATATAGTAATAATGATAATAATAATAGATAGCATTTGTATAGCGCATATCCCCGCTCAACAGCAGGCTCTAAGCGCTTTACACTATATTATATTGTAAGCAAAGTCATGAAATGATTGTTTTGTTTGTTGTTGGGTTTGTTTTCTTACTTTTTAAATTTAACATTCATACAAAATACAAAGCTTTCTGCAGTGTGCACTACGTCAATTCGTTACCTGCAAGCCTCCACGACTTCTTTACAGAATTTTTCTGTGACGTCGTGTCCGAGAAACTTTGCCAGCTCCTGAGCTATTTGGACGGGATTCTGGGGAGAGTAGGTTTTATTTCCTGATCATTGTTTGCGACTACCAATCTGTTGGTCAACGCGTTGTAAAGTTTGGATGTCGATTCTATGTTGGTATCAATCATGACAAGCCTTTATAAATTCTAATTTCCCGACAGAGATATTTAATGTTCCTCTTTGCCATCATCGTTCATTCTTTCTTTCTTTCTTTCTTTCTCTGTCTGTCTGTCTGCCTTTCTTTCTTTCTTCCTTTCTTTCTTTCTTTCTTTCTTTCTTTCTTTCTTTCTTTCTTTCTTTCTGTCTTTGTGTGCATCTTTATTTCTTACTATCATTCTTTCTTTGCTTTTTGATAAAAAACCAAAATTAAAATTTCATCAAAACTACACATGGCACCATTCTTTAGAAAAGCACCAAAAGAGACTAAATAAACTGTAAAAAGTAACACTATTATAACAGCAGCAACACTGGCTGAAAAGGTTTGTGTTTACGAACAAGGTGTTTACCTCCTTCATGTCCTCATAGTATATCGTCATGACAGGAACCTCCGGGTTGTCTTTCTGGTATTGCTGCATTTGACGCAAGAAGTCAAACTGGTGGGCCATCATCACTAAAGAAAGGGGTGGGGTACAAAATCAGTATAGTATAGGAAATCTAATGAAGGCAAACGGCAAGCTTCTTAGATCGTTGGGCTCGATAGGGAGAGATAATTCTCGTAATTTACGGAACAATCATGACTGCCTTATTGAAAAAGCACGAAAACAAAAATATCCTCCGAATGATTTGCACCCAAAGAAGTTACCTCATATTATAGTACTAGACGTCAGACGTGCCAGCTAAAGGTCTACGCCACCATACCGTTCGGGTCAAGAAGGCCAGTCCAGTAGTACTACTATACAGCAATTACCATGGTGCACTCTAATGTCGTGCAGTGGTGTGCAAGCCGTCGAGAAAAGTAGAGCAATGTCAGTTTTCCCGTTAGCCTGAGTATTTAGATTAGTTAAACAGATTGAAACCTGTTTAGCGATCTGATCATGATTGGTTGTGAATTTAGTCGAGTTACACTAACTGAACTCCAATACAGAAGTCCAAAGACCAAAGCTGTGGAAGTAATATGAAACAACGATTGTCGTTTGCCTAGACATGAGTAGAACGTATGCTCCTTTTAGGTAGAAACAGTTTTTTAAAGGAATCAAACAAAGATCGAGACGGTATTGAAATATGAAAACAATTACTGATGCTTTCACTCCCTTACGCTCCTTGGCTTGTTAGTAAACTGAGTTTGCAAACCTACCGTCTTTACTAATACTAAGGTTTTGTGTTCCGAGGATCTTGACACGTATGTGCATGCCTTTGGTATGGGCATGAATAATTTTAAGTCTATTAATAGATGGTGTTTGAGATACTAAATGTTTATATTATTTATGTATCCTTTGCTTTCTTCAAGAGGTAAGGAGAACGAGTTCGCGAAGTCACCATGGAGAGGTATTATAGACTCCCCCCCCCCCCCCTCTAGGGCAGTGAACAGGAAGATTTGCATGAAGGACATGTATTTTAAGAAAGTGGAGAGGAATAAAACAACAATCCTTTCTTCCCATTTTGATCCCATTCATCAATTAAGTACATATCTGATGAGTTACAATCACCAGCGTCTGCATAGTTGTGTCTGCAGCTCATCAAAATGGTAAAGTAACGTTTTTGATTATTTTTGCTATGGTTCAAATTCCAAAGGTGCTTCATTACGAAATTGTATTGTTCGAGGAGCTTTCATGACCCTCCACCCGGATGGCTTGGTCTTATCTGAGATGATTGTTAAACTATGGGGTCCTGTCCCTCTAAATACCCCGCGTTAGAACAAAAGGAGCCTAAAACCCATATCCTTAGAATGACTGCATACAATGATTCAAGGTATGGTGCTTGGGGGGAGGGTGTGTGTATAAATTCATGTGTATGCTCTATGCTATGTAGCCGCATTCAAAAAGAAACTTAAAATGGAGGTTTTCATGAAAGATAAAGGATGAAAAAATATAAATACAATGAAATGAAACAATAGTCTTGATAATTGGCTAATGGAAGAGATCTCCACTTAAAATTATATTAATAAAAGTTCAAGTCGGTACCATGACGAATACCTGCGCCGCAACCTAAGAAATACTCGATACCGAAAATCCCTGCGCATTTTTCCAACAGGTTTAGGAAAAATTCTTTGAACTTTTTGACAACAGGATTAAAAACCTTTTTTTTTCCTCGTACGCTGCTGGTTTCCAATCAGATAACCGTTATTGTCTATTATATTAGCATTTTTAGTATGCAATGTTTCAGCATGATAGCGATAAGATAGAGAAAAGTGATCAAAGCAAGTTAAACCTGAACATAATGGAGGTTGACACTGTTGGGTTCATCGACCCGAAATGGACCCACCCTCCACACACAGGCAAAGGTGTACAAGCCTTAAGCATTTCAAATTCGTTCAAGTCGTGTTTATAATTTGACAATTTTGATGTTGTTATAAAGTTTAAATTCAATGTCTCTTTTCTGACATTTTATCACTTTAAAATTTCAAGAAAAAAGAAGAAAATATAAATATGGTTTATTTCTCTTCTTGTTGGTATCGTGTCAAATATGTGGAAATGAGCGCACTAAATGTCATCAAAACCTAATATATTAGCTTATATTTAACTATAGGTCTGAAATCAGAGACCCAAAATTACTTTAAAACGCGATATGTATCACAGGTAGCAACGAAGAAGTATAAATTTATTGACCAGTGTTATATACGGTATAAGAATGCAAGGGAAAAAAACCCATCGTGCTCCTTTTCAGAGGCTATCTTGAGTTCTATAGAAGTACTTACTACCGTTGGTGAGGTAAAGTTCCAGTAGCTCAGACATTGTAAATTTCCCCATTTGTAACAAATGGTAGTAGTAGGACACGATGACATCTTTCGGGTTACGAACCAGATGCAGAATCTGTTATGATGGAAAAAGAAAAGCTCGTTAGAGATATACATCGCATCCAACGGCTTTCTATAGGGCCAAATGTCACCAGTTTGATTGTGTTAAGATTGCTTTTATTTTGTTCTCATCGGGTTTTACTTTCGTTACTCACGTTACTGAGTTTCTACTCCTTATACCTTGTACTTCAAGGGAATTTTACTGAAACAAATCACTAGACACAGATACTCTGAACGAAACACGAGTGCCGTTTCTTTCTGCCGTTGCTGGGTTTCTACTTCTCATGCCATCTACCATTAGAGACGTAGGTACTTTATCGTTACACGAGGTGCCTATGGGGGGATCGGGTCGGGTCGGTCAGACTGAGGGCTGCAAAGCGGCTATTGTGGCATAACCCGATCGCTCCCGACCCGTATTAACAAATCACTACCTCAGGATCACACAGATCTATGTGACATTTTTAGCCGTTATGAGTTACTTAGAATCTAGACCGTGAGGTCAGAAAGCAACATCTTCTCTATCAAATCGAAAGATTATTCTGAATCGTTATCAAGATATTCAAACAATTGCATCCAAAAACTTTTAAAATATTGTGAGACTCACAATTTTTTACGTCAAATTCCACAAAACTAGGTACTGGGCAGATAAAACTTTCAAATTCTGAGGCAGCGAAAAGCTGAGCTCAATATATCTAATCTGATGATCACTGAAGTGAAGTTTCGTTTTCAAAGTGACCCAAAGATAAGCTAAATTTCTGTGGGAAAGGAAATGGTATTGGTAAGTGTACAGAACTGCAACGAAAGTACAACTTACCTTGATTTTTTTCTCTTTGACCTGTTGAGGAAGGTGACACATGGGAAGGTGAGAGTTGAGAGTGCGGGGAGAGGCTTCCTTTTCGATGACGTCCCTCTTGGAAAACTCCAGCATTACGGTTTCTTTGGAGCGGTCTTCGTACGAGGCTATGCCTTTTCGCAACATCTTTGTGACTTCCCACATCCAATGGGTGCCTGAACGAAACACACAAACACACACACAAAATAACAACATGTATTTGTGTGGAAGTGTAGATCTTACACCTTCTTTTCCACGTGTTTTTAGGAGGTGTGTGTGTGTGCGTGTGTGTGTGTGTGTGTGTGTGTGAGTGTGTGTGTGTATGTGTGTGTATGTGTGTGTGTGTGTGTGTGTGTGTGTGTGTGTGTGTGTGTGTCTTTGCTTTGTGGTCATAATGCAGTCATACGGGAACATAAATTAATGTGCAATCCTTCAACAACGCTATTTTTCCTCCATGTGTTGTTCACAGAGTGACCGATGTGGGCCATATTCTCTCACACCCGTCCAGTCCTTTAGGTGGCTTGCACACACACATACATTCACAGACAGACAGACAGACACACACACACACACACACACACACACACACACACAAACACACACACACACACACACACATACAAACAAACATGCGAATCTGGGCAAACAATAATTTGAGGACAAAGGCTGTCCTCGGGTTTGCGGAACTTATTTTCTTGTAACAAGTTTTGCCACTAATAAGTGTCATTGTTAAGCAGTGGCGTAGGCCATATGTGTACGTAAAATCTGTGAGCGTAGCGGGGAGTGATGTGAACAATTCCATGTTCTTCCAGACGGAGATTTATAGTAAGTTATATATATTTTAAAACTGAAGCCTATTTGGAGGGACAGAAACATCACGCACAACTCAAAAATTAGACTAATGCGCTCACTGGTCATCTCAATATTTTTATACGCCTGCGAGTCGTGGACACTAACAGCAGAATTAGAGAAAAAGATTCATACCACAGAGATGAGATGTTACCGCAGACTCCTTGACATTTCGTACAAAGACCACGTTTCAAATACTGAGATACGAAAGAGAATCCCCAACGCAGTGGGGCAATATGAAGATCTACTGACCACAGTGAAAAGACGAAAATTAAAATAGCATGGGCATGTCACAAGATCCACAGGACTTGCCAAAACAATCCAGTAAGGAACTGTGCAAGGAAAGAGAAAGAGAGGAAGGCAGAGAAGGAGATGGGAGGACAACATTACAGAGTGGACAAGAAAGACGATGGGTGATAATCTGAGGAAAGCAGAGGACAAAAATAGATGGCGAGTGCTGGTTTTCAGATGCAGTGGTGCCCCCACGGTTGCCCCAACCACGGGATAGAAGAAGAAGAAGATATATATTTAAGAAGAACAGTTTATTTTTAATGTAGCCCAAATTATTATGGAAAAATATAATTCAGCTAAGATGAATTGATACAAAAAGCTGCACAAAGTATGGGTGACAATGATTCACCCGATAAAGAGATATTCGAGGATAAGTTCCACCACGAATTTTCGACCGCACTATAGTATTTTCTCACCTCAGACTTACAAAGCTCTACTTGCACAATAGCTAGTTTTGAGAAATCTGACATCAAAGAATTAGAGTTTCACATCTTGTTAAGCTTTTTTGAAAGTGGTACTTTGAATATCTTGATAATGTCTCCGAAGAATCTTATGATTTTGAAAGAGCAGATAGAACGTTTTGGTTTCCGACTTCAGGGTCTTAGTAACTCTAAACGGTTGAAAATGTCAGACAGATAAAGAAGGTCGACAGCGGAATATGTTGGAACGGTGACGACAAGACGACCTATTTCCAAAGGGTGCAACTCAGTTCTAAACATAGGGACGGTCGAAATAATTTACGCGCAGTGTCTTTGGGGTCAACGGGTGGTCCTCGGTATTACGCAGCCGTGTCAGTAGTTTTTAGGGTAAAAAAATAATACAGATTATAGAGCTTGCATTTGTTCACTGTTCGGGATATTCTGTTTGGATCTGTTGTACACACTGTAGGTACTGGGAATTATGTCACCATACCACCTGTGACTGTCGGGTACAGTTTAGCAGAGTAAACAGACGCGAGAAAGAAACAGAACAGAGAAAAGCAGTTGAGGAAATGTTGCTAAAAAGACAGATAAATAATATACATATAAAGAGAGAGATAAAGAGAGAGAGAGAGAGAGAGAGAGAGAGAGAGAGAGAGAGAGAGAGAGAGAGAGACCCATACACATACACACAAACATAATACTGGTAATCAAGAAAGTGAATGTGTGGCTGATGGGTGCTCTTATGTGGTTTGAGTCTTCTTTCCTGTCAAACATGTTATCACCCTTACCTTTACTTCTTTTCTTTGTTTGCTGTTTTTCACTAGCGCCTCAAATCTTTAGCACTTACATGACCTTTTTGTTTTTCAAGTGCCACAAACTTTTACTAAAACATTTTAAAAGACTAAACTGGAGAATGTAGCCGTTGTTTAGTTGACTCTTTGTCAACTAAACCATAGAGAAAGAAAACAAAAACATCTGAACCAACAAAATCTGTATACTCACCGCTCTTGGGAAAAGCCGCTATTATGACGTCATCATCTCTCATGTCCATTTTTCTGAGTGACGTCACAAATTCCACGGGGTCGTCCAGGTGAAGAAGTGGAAGGACTCGCCACCCAAAGGCTTGACGATCAGATTTCAGCATCCTCTTGGGAAAACTGGAAATTTCCGGCTCAGCATTCTTCTCAACCTCACCATTTTCAGCGATTTTCGTGTCTGCCATTTCTATAGGCTCGAAGGCTCTACAGTCAGCAAAATCTCTTGATATAATTTTTCTAGAATTGATGAAAGGTATAGAATAAAAGAATACAAAAGATAAACAGCATTATAACACCTTCTTTCCACACAAATTGTACCACTACGCAGTTACAAATACGTACCTCTAAGAACAAAGAAAGAAAAATACAAAAGAAGTTTTTTACTACCCAGTATAAGGGCACTGTCGGAATAAACATCAGTGTTTACTGCTGTTTCGAATATATACATTGTTAGTCCGAGCGCCAGGTGAAAAGGCTTTATTTGCGTTATAAAGTGTTTTTTTTCTTCGGTGAGTCTGAGTTTTCATTGATGATTTCAAATCTAATGGGGATCAGATCCTAAACTTTGAGCGTTTTTGTTCAAAAGTGAAAATCAAAGATGGCCGCCATAGAATTTCGAGTGAAAGATGTTGTGAGGAATATCTTCGTTTAAAAACGTAAAATGTACATACTTAATTAAACAGCATGCAGTGCAACAAAAGTAAATCTGACTTGATGAAATACACATCAAACATTCGATAAAATGGCTTTAAAGAAGACAAGATGACCGCCATCTAGTTTTCATAAATGTGCTGATCCGCGATACACTTGAAACCGTCGAACAAAATCACTTAATTAAATCATTTAACAGGGAGCTAACACTGGGACACTCGCCAGTGTCTGCTGCTAGTTCTCACATCAATAGTGACTTAAGAGTGTCTGAAGGCAGTTCATGTATCCTCACAGTCATAGTGGGGGGGGGGCAATGACAGTCATTGGGTTATTGCAGCCAATTCATTATCTGCATTAGCAAAATGTTGTACATGTACACGTGAAAGACAGTTTGGTGCGGATGCACTGTGCTGTGCTGCATCAAGTTTTACAACTGCAACTGACCAGATTGAGAACTTCATCAGGAGCTGGCCGCTGAGCAAGTCCAAGGTCTGCCATCCATACTCAACAGGATCCAGCTCAGGATAAGATGGCTCCCCTGCTGCTTGACACAGCTTCTTCATGATACAGAGTGTCTTACTGAAACACAGACCCGATGTGTATAGGGTGTGTATAAGGCCCACTGATTACAACATCTGTCCCTGGTGGAGGCTGCATGCTGCAAAGACGATGTACAGTCATCAGTTGCTCCTTGTTAGTTGTGACTTTCAGCAAGACACTTTGCTGTGACAAAGGCGACTCTTCAGTCAGGTTGTACGCACGACTTGTCCCCTTCTGACGGGCGTTTCGATAGCATGACAGCAGCTGTTGAGATGTGTCTTTCCCTCCAAGTTCAATATAGCGTTCACGGACTTCCATATTATTCCACATGCGTGATTTGTTTGATCGAATCTCGCCTATCAGCATACTGAAGGCATTGTCATGCGTTGTACGTGAGTTAGTTGATTGCGTTGGGTTGTTGGTGTAGAACCGGTAGTAGCAGTCTTTGTGACACCTAGCATCTGTTGCATGCAAATCACTGACTGCCGATGACACACGGAAGCTGACATTCGTTCCCCATTTGTCCCCAGGTTATTGGCACATTTTTGTATTTCTTCTTTGGTGATCTTCCTCCCTTTCTCCTCTCTAGTTCGGCATAAATAGGCTTTTTTTCAACGATCTGGCTGTTTTTATGGGGTATCACTGAGCAAGCTTCTCTACAGAAAAAACAATGGTCATGAAAATTAAACAAACTAGCACTGCCCCTAAGACATTTGGGTTCTTCTTCGGAAAGTGCCTCAGTCTTTCTCTTTGGTAAAAGTCGCTGAATATGGTCTTTGCTTTGGAACAATATGCTATACAGTTCTTGTAACACAGTATAAATTCTGCATCTTCTAAAAGTCTCTGACAGAGCCCGTCATCTCGTTGCCGGCTTGCTTCCTGAAAACTACTAATCCGTCTCGATTTGATCAGTGGTGGGTTCTTTCTGACAGAAAAAAACACCCCACGTCTAAGAGAGAGAGAGAGAGAGAGAGAGAGAGAGAGAGAGAGAGAGAGAGAGAGAGAGAGAGAGAGAGAGAGAGAGAGAGAGAGGGGGGGAGGGAGACAGTGAGAATCGCATCAGTACTATGTGTATAAAAGTCAGTGAGCAAGACATTGTATGTTTTCATGCTCATGTGACATGAACCAGCCTGATCACATCACGTCCTCGTGAATATGTAGCGTGGTCCTACATTCTTTGTTTCTACGTAGCGAAAGATCTACGTGTATACAAACTGACAAAGAAGGTATGGATAACGGAACCCTCCCGTCGTCACAAGCGATTAGATCTTGATCAAAGGGGTGGCTGACTTCTTAACTATCTAAATATGCCACGCACCCCCCTCCCACCTTATAAATATCTCCATCTCTTTTTCTAACCCCCCCCCCCCCTTTTCCCCCCTCCCGAATAAACAATTCAAAATTTTCAAAACACATTGCAGCTTTATAAAATAGCCCATGAAACATGATGCATGTGTTCGTGGATATCTGGTACTGCACATTGTTCTCAATACTTAACGTTCCTATAGTACCCGTAAATTCTTACGCTCTTCGGTGTTTATGGGTCCAGTGTTGAAGAAAGGAACACTAGTATTTTGTCTTCAGGCCACGAACACATCGTGCGACCTTCTGTGATGATACAGTAATTCACGCTCACGTTCAACTGTCGAAGTCGAAATTCTGCTGTTACGGAGCTTTCGTGTGACAGTGACGAAGCGTTGTCTGCCAATGTCTCCTTGCTTTGCTAGCTGAGTCCATATCACGAGGGGGGACAGCAGGCCGTGCTGTGCACTTTTCGAGGCAGCCTGTGACATCACGGCGAGAGGGGCTGTAAGCGTTAGCACCCCCGCGCGAATCTTGGTCGACTCGTCCATGAGTCGCTCGTCCATCATTTTTGCATTATACGGGTTGGTGTATTTCAACCAGCAGAAAAAATTATGCCCATAAGATACAAGTTGGCCCCCGACTAATGAAGTTTAGAGACCCCAAGAAAGCAGAATCACCAAAGAAGAAAAAGAACGTTCTTGTACTTGTATTTATATATACCCGGCTCTCGGACTATATATAACTCTAAAGGTCTTGTGATATATTCCCGCATGTGCTTGAATGATGCATCCGGTTGTGACATCTAGTATGTGAAGCAGCTTTACGTTCTCTTCATAGCGAATTTTAATGAGAGTTTTATAATTTAAGTTAAAAGTATACTTTCATATTGTGTTTTTACGGCTCTGTACAGTCAAGAAAAATGTCCATCTAGAACAATAAAGTATTGCCATATTTTATCTTTTTGTAGAAATATTTTTTTTGGTGCTTTTGCTGCTGCTGTTGCTGTTGCTTGTGTTGTTGCCAATGTCAACTGCAACCATTAGTTGAAAAACAACAACCACAATGTTGTCGATGAGGTTGCAGAGAGGAAAACTCCATTAAGTTAAAGATGACTAAAACATGTCAGACTGGATTATCTCAAAATTGTTAGAGTCGAGGGTGTAGTGTTTCGTTGCTGTTGCTTTATGTGAGTGTGTTTTTTTAACCAAAAAATGTAAAATATTTATGGATGAATCAGCTTTGTACACTGCGGTGTGGTTTGAGTCTCATGTTCCTAAAAACACGGTACTTGTATTGGTGAGATATGGGTAAACGTGTACTATAACGGCTTTTTGTGCTAAAAAAAACCCAGCAAAGCAATAATACAGGAATCACGATCAGTGAGCAAAGATAGGACACACCTGGGGTTCTGTCCAACAATCAAATGATGTCAAAGTAAAGATGAAGACCAGAAGAAGGTAGAAAGAGAAGTAAGCATTGAATGACATGTGTTTAAAATCCTTTTTAAGATGATTGTAATACATGTAGTACCTTCGGGTCCAACCATTGGGTTTAAAGCCTGCCCCATGAAAAACATAAGAATCAAATGACATGAATACTTCACCAAATTTCAAACCTAAAGAACTCTCAGTTTATCGCCTCTTTCTCCCTCTTTCTCTCTCACTCCCCCCC